GTTACGGTTCAATAATCCGGCATCTTGCCAATTGTGTGGATAGTGATTACCCCATGGTTAGCGCCGGCAGCGGAGGCTGCTCCTGTATGCAAGAAAATATTATGCTTATGTCTTAGGGCTAAGATTTCTGTTTTACTGGGGCATTATGTTTGGGTCTCATTTGTGATGGTCCTGTGTTTTGTAGCACCTACTGTTGCTATTTTGTGGGTTTAGTCTCGCACTACTGCGGCTTGTTCCGCTAGTTTCCTCTGTTAATGAAGCATTTCTTTTTCTGTGACAAATAATATAAAAAAAAAAAAGACGTCGGTAAGCATGTCATTTGGCAAAATAAGTACGAAATCTTGCCACATCAATGTTACTATTGATCAGATCATATAATATTACAAATGGTACTAAGAAACGGAATTGGATCATCTCCAAGGCAAACCCTCGGGATCCTGCTGAGCAACAAACACGGGCAGTTGAATTTCGATCCAACGGCTACAATTATTATAACTTTAAAAGGGACTCCCCTGTTTGTAGCCGTTGGATCGAAAGGAACCCCCCTGTTTCTTAGGGACCTGAACTTTAAAAGCTTCATCTTGATTGAAAGCATATGGGGTTGTGAAGAGCCCCATCTTATGTGCTTTTCCAATCATCTCAACCTCCAATCTGATCAGTACATTAAGAAAATTTCATATGCGCAGAATGCATAATGATAATATTAATCATTTAAAAATCTCGGTTTAAAACCTACCGGTATCCCATTCCAGTTTCTTCAAGATTTTGTCTAAAATTATCATCATACAGTCCAACTGTTGGAAAATTTTGGACACCAGAGAATCCAATCGACCCCACCTGCCTTAGGAAGAAATCCATACGGCCAAAAGGATCGGTGCCACATACCCCAGCAAGAACAGTTACCTTCTTCACCACCTATCATCATCATCAGCTCCACATCAGCAAAGAGTGATTTTGAAAGAGACATAGGAATGGCCCGAACGGGTAAGGTATTGCATTACTAAATTGACTTGTCACACCTTCAGTATTACATTTTAGTTTCACTGCCTAACTAAGAATTTGAATACTTGACTATTTCGGATTATACTAAAACGATCTTCCAGCATACGGATTACGAAAGGGTTGAAACTTACTGGCAAAACTTCATTGGCCACGTCAAGTACTACAGCATTTGCATCAGCAAAAGGTAATAAGCCTGCCAATGAACCTCTTCCTGCCATGCAAAAGCGCCCTGAATTGTAAACCACCATCAGATCAACACCACCAGCTTCTTCAAACTTTGCAGACATGCTTGTCCCTGCACCTGCCCCTATAATTGGAATTCCTCTGTTTATTTGATCTTTGAGTTGCTGCAATACCACTCTAGTTCCTTGCAAAGTTTCTGTCACAGAAGTAACAGGTTACTGGTTAGATCCAACTCCAATGATGACATAAAACAAAATCTGCAGCTCTAATCTATTCATCGAGCAAAGTTGCTGTAATTTTCAATCACTACATACTATCATCCCTTCCCTAAACCATCCAACGTAATTGCATTTCTGTTGTGGAATCAACATAATAGGGATTTAGTATGTCTATGTACCTGAAACCATATAATACAACACATACACTCTGGGGGATATCAATACGTTTCTGAATTTACTTAAACATCCCAATGATATGTAATGTCACAAAGAAAATGAATGCAGTTCAAACTATAACCTGGTCTTGCATTGGGAAGTCGCTCAGGTTACGTGGAACAGTCTCAGAGCTTGACAAGTATATCTTGGAAACAGAACTTTCATGAACTTGTTGATTCGATTCAGGAGTAGAAACTTTCGGAGCACACTGAATATAACTCTTTGTACTAATCTTTAAAAACGAGTCCACCAATGCATTTACAAACTCAGGGTCATTTTTATGACGAGGGAACACCATTACCTATTAAAAATGCACTATTTTCAATAGTAATGTTGGTCCGCACATGAAACCAAAGAAACTAAAAAAGGCACCATTCAATGGGAAATAATTGTACCTTCCGATCTTCATTTGTTTGGATCAGCCTCTGTAGTTCGTAGTTAGAGAAGCAGTGGCCTCTGGATCATCAAAAGGCAGCCCTGGTACATCCAAAGCAGAGATACCCTTTTGTGGTAGGCAAACAACAACCTTTGATGATGATTTGTTCAACTTATCTGCTATAAAGCCAGCAAATTTCTTTTTCTCGACTACAGTGGTTCTCATGAGTGAAACCTGAAAAATGATGAGTATTTTTCCGAGTTATCCGCACACAGACAATCCTTTTAGAGTTATATTATGTTTAGAGACTAATCAGAGATTACCTACTTGTTAAGTTCATGAATCTTTCTGTGTTGAAATTGGATGGTATGGTATCCTTAGCTCCAAAGTTTACCATATCCAAAGCTCCAACCCTTAGTACTAAAGGAATCCTTTTCTCTATGATGGCATCAAAGTGGGAAGCATCGCAAGCCATGACACCCCAAACCACATTGTCTCCAACCTCTGTTGTTGTGATATCCAAAACACCCTAAGTAAAACAACAAGGAAACGTTCCGAAGAAACAAAAATTACGCAAAAAGACCAACTCAATACTAAAGTTAAATGAAATGAAATTACATAAGGGTTTGAATTTGGCACACAGCAAACTGCGACGGGAACCAAACAATGCATGTACCTGTCGACAGTTAAATGAAATGAAATTATATATATTAATAAGTAAGAGTGGGCTAGGCTTCGCAATGAGTTCTAAAATACCTACATCTTTTCAAGAATTTACATTAAAACTAAGCGAAACAAGGCATATCTCGAGCTTCAACAATCAAAAAATCAAAACTTCCCTCGTTCTGTAAACTGTTCTCTTTAACAAAAGCTTTACTAAGTTCACATTTTTATATGTCCATTCCAGTAATTCTACTCAAACAAATTTTCAAATTTTCAAATTTAACATACCAAAACATACAAATGAATATATTTCCAACAAAAAGACCTTACCTTTATGAACCCATCTCTAACCAGAGACTCCATGTCTCTCCCTCCAACCCCAGTGGCATGAAAAACCAATGTTCCATACCCTTCTTTCTCCAATCTCTCTTTCACCCCATTCACACACCGAGTCGTCACCCCGAACATGGTCAGCCCCACCGTTGATTTCTCCACCCCGCCACAGCCACCATCCCACAAAACGCAGCAGCAGCATTGCTCAATAGGGCCCTGCTCAGCTATTAATGCCGCACACATCAACTATCGATGGGTAAAACACCAGGTCCGAAGCCCCTACATAGTGATCCGTCCGCCCGCTTGCGACGGTCAATACGATCAGTTTCGGCACTCCGATTGGAGAGATCTTAGGGCGGAGGATATCAGTGCCGTGCCTTCGCTGCCTCCGAGACCAACAGCTCCGCCTAAAACGCCGTCCTTTTGGTCTTTGGTTAGGAAGTTCTCGAGCGCTTTGCTCATTACAGCTACGGCTTCGCCTCTGTCCACCGGAAGCTGATCGGCTGCTGCTTCAGAATAGTGACAGAGAATCTCCTTTATCGAAACGAATTCGAAATCGGTTGGATTTGTATCGGTCTCGGTCCGACTCGCCGATACGTCCACACCGAGACTTTGACCTGTAGTTTCGGTATCGACATTGCGAATCCGAATCGGATTATCAAAAACTAGAAAGAAAGAGAAGGATATACCTTGAGTGAGGAAGCTGCGGAGAAAGAATCGAGATGGGATCGGACCGACTCGGCGAGGAATCGGAGCTCGTCGAGCTTCGTATCGGCGGTTCCGAAACAGAAAACCCGGGGGATTTTATTGGCCGGCATTTCGAAGTGTCCGAGTTATGGAACTGGGTTGAGGATGACCGAGTGGGAACTCAGTCTTACTTGATCGGAGCTCACAGACACGGTTTCTGGAAGAAACGACTGAGCCAAAATGTCGCGCGTTCCGCGGTGGTTGGTACATCTGGAATTTCAGATGAAGTTTGGATTTAGGAGCCACGTCACCAACCTGAAATTATTATGTTTTTTTTACAAATCGGGTAATACCACGGAGATTAAATTTGTTATTATGTTTTTATGAATTGGGTAATGTTAAGAAGACTAAATTTGTAATAAAACTTTTGAAGTTCCTGTTGAGATTGTATAGTATGACTACCTTGTTACGGCTTCATATTCTAATTACTAGTTCTGCTTTCAACAACACTAACAGAAAACATAGAACATATTTATTTAGGATTGTGATTTTCACACACTCTTAACTACTTTTCCCACATCCCTCTCTATTTTCCAATACTTAATTGGTATCCTACTATTTAATCTTCCATATATACCATTCCTACTACTTTTTTATGGTAATTAATGAAAGATTAAATAAGAAGGGGTATATATGAAAGATTAAATAGTAAGATACCAATTAAGCATTAAAAAATATAAAGGGATGTGGGAAAAGTAGTTAAGAATGTGTGAAAATTACAATCCTTTATTTAAAGGAATCATCAAACAAAATAAAAGGCTAGAAGTAAGCAAATTTTATGTAACAAGATTCGTTACATCGGACACAAAGCCAGCATCATGCTTAATTTCCATTCTTACTCTTAGAAATTCCAATCACACCACAGCAAAAACCTCATCGCCACCAAAATCTCTTGCAAACCATCTTCTAAACTCAAGCCTAACCAACACCAACGAAAGTATATGCACTCTTATTTGCTAAACATGCACCTCAAGCTCTCAGTGTCGATTCTTTCATTCCAACATCATCTTCAATCATTTCCATGGCTATTGGCAGCACTCCCAAGAGAAAATCAAAGCAATACGAGCGGTTGAAAGAACAACGAAATTTTAACCTAGGACCCGCATTTTCTTTTAGATGTTTGAGGTCTAGTTCTTGCTTATTTACAAACGTCTATGTGAAGGTATTATGCAACAATCAACAAGTCCATCCAAGCATTCCAACAAAATAGAATCAACGAGAGATAAAAAAAAAAGGTGTGCGTGTGAAGAAGAAAAATGGCATCAACATAATCACTCTAATTTTTACAAGCTTCAATTTTATTCTTGTCTGCGAATTGAAATCACATGACTTTTAGAGTATGATTAGGTCAGTCATCATGAAAAATGATAATGTTTAACATAGATGCATGTAAATCATATTAAAAACCACATGCATCAACAATTAAAAATCTACAGCCAATCAACACTCGAATGAGAGCTTAACAAACCCTAATCCAAACTAACAAATTGATCATACAACCACCACGATACAAAATTATTGAACTTGACAAATTGACCATGGGTTGACTATTTGACTTTTTCACATGATAGAGCAGGAAGGGTTGTGGTCATAACAGGGATCCACCCTCACAATGCCCCACCTTTGACATGGCTCAGGGCAATAATAGGGCATGGGACAGGGCTTCCGGTCTTTCTCTTTAGGTTTCGTCTGTTCGGGCTTCTTTTCTGGAGGTTTAGGAGGAGGCCCGATACTCACTACTTCGGCATATTTGCATGCTTTTCTAGTTCGAACAATTATTTCATAGGGATCACAGTCGCCTGTTACCGTCAAAGTTCCCTTGGCTGCATCAACTTCAAGTTTATCCACACCTGAAATGATCAGAGATGATTAATATGACAAATAGTACTGTACACTTTTGGTTTTGAGGTTTAAATGCTTAATGATCTACTCTAGAGTTCTAGTTCAGTCTAGTCGTCCACACATGCATGAGAGATTTTTAATTATTGATTGATATGAGGATAAGTTGTGGGAAGCCTTTATCAATCAATGATTAGCAGTTGCTTATGCACCCATGGATTGCTGACAATATCATATATCATATACTTACATACGTTCATACTATACATCGTGATTAATCTTCTTTTGAATGACTAACAAGTGATAAACAAGCATAACTAATCTATGCCAAGGAAATTTAAGGAAACAAGTTTCAAGAGGGGACATGATGATGTTACCTTCTAGGACAGACACCGCCTTGAGAAGCTTCCTCTGGCATTTTTGGCAATGTATATCAACCTTGAGGACAGTCCTTTGTACCATTGAAGAGCTAGAGCTCTCTCTCTCTCTCTCTCTCTCTCTGTGAACTAGCTATAAAGACGGTGTCATATATGGAGCTTTGGGTTGTTCACCTCCCTAGCTAGATAAGCTCATCTTAGCTGGTCGATTGCTTGTCCAATTGGCCTTAATTTATATAAAAACCGTACTTAGCCAACATATGCTTTGTATCACCAACTTGATCAAAATTAAGCCCGTTAAATTGTAGGAGATGAAGAATTTGTTTGGATGTGATTTTAAAATAATTGAAAGTGTTTTTAGTGAAAATATTTTTAGAATCAATCTTTAGTAAAGATGCAAGTAAATCTTGAAAAAGTACTTAAAGTGCTTCCTGAAAGAAGCACATAACTTGTATTTCTTGCAGAAAGCACTTTAAGTGCTTTTGGAATCCAAAAATATTTTCTCTAAAAGCGTTTTCAGTTATTGTAAAAGCATATCCAAACGAACCTGCAACCTATATGTTTCATTGACTTGTTTTTATTTGACACAATTAGATTCCCCCATGCTATCAACCAACAACCAACATATATAACTTATATTAGATACACCAATTTGTGTGAGGAAAATTAAAACACAAGCTAAATAGAAAAATATATATGAGAGAACAAAACAAAGTATATGTTGACAAATAAGATATCCAAATCAAAGGACAGGGACTATTTTGATTATATGTTATGATCTATATATAATCCTTGTCCTCACTTTATATGTCCAAAATGGCTTTAAATATAAGAAAAACTAATGAAAATGGTTTGAAAATTTTGAGTTTTAACGATAAGGACAAAATAAAGGGTAAAGTGAATAGTACTATGATTGACTTTTTAGTGTAAAAATATGGGTTTTCGTTAAAATGAACAATACCGAAAGTTTTTTGTTAAAATTCCCTTAAAAATATTATGAAATCACCAAGATGCCTTGTTATTCAATGAAGTAGAGAGACCAAACAATGCGTTTTTATTAAGGTTTGGTTCACTTGTACATACAAGTCAACTAATTCATGTCAAAAGTGTATTGTATTGGCACTCTAAAATAATTATTTTACATTTCAAATTTTCTACGTTTAAAAATGAAAATACACTTAGAGTATCAATAACATCTTCCTAAAATTATACAAATAATTCAAACAAATATAAAACTTTAATTTGTACAAAAGCCAAGTATTTTGCGAAATGATATATAGCTCAAACAAGGAAAATAATTATGCATATTTATATCACCGTTTAATTTTTGTCAATGTTAAGAATTCACAATGGTCAATTCTGAGTCCTAACCCATCACAGTTGACAACTCATAATCGAGTTGTTGCGTTTTTTTTTTTTCCAATTACCGTGCGTGTCATTGTGTAATACTATTCGCTAACGTCCAAATAGAATGACTGTGGCAAGTCGTTGCGTATATCTAAATCTTTCCTGCAGTTGTTCCCTATGGTATCGTTTGGTATGATGACGGGACGGGACGGAACGGAATGGGACGGGACGGGACAGAACGGAACGGAACGGAGCGGGAGCAAAGATGCCCTCGGATGGAAACAAGGAGGAAGAAGAAGGAGACGGAGAGGTTATAATTTTGTGTTCCACGGATGTGGAACGAGTCGTTCCAGGGGGTTGAGGTGGAATGAAAATTCAACCAAAACTCGTCCCGTGGAACAGCTCATTCCACCTGTTTTAAGAACACCAAACGTGGGACGGAACGCCTTGTCCCACTCTGTTCCGTCCCGTCCCACGTACCAAACGGTACCTATCATACAATTTTTATTTTTGTAGTGTTGGGCCTGTTGGCGAATAAATTAATTACCTATGTTTGGGGAGAAGTTGTTGTCCCGATTACTAACTAAATTTGAAGGCTAACGTGAACTTTTACTTATAAGTCATTTTTTATTAACAATTATGTACGATTCAGATGATTCCAAAGAATTATGTATTTATCAAGTGTTCTTTTACGTAACCAAAGAAGAGAAATGAACTCTGTGTTTGTCTGGACATATATTGTCATGGGAGAAATGTTAAGGGGATTATTTCAAAAGTGGGATTTGGACACTCTGCAACCTCATGTTTTAGCACAATTTTTTATAATATTAACACAAAAATTGACGTTAAATTATAAGATAATAGAATCTCCATAGAGAATCACACTTTTAAGAGTTCCCTTAACATTTCTATTATCATGGATACAAAAGTCTCCAAAGTATCAAGCAGCCACCAACGAAAGAAATTGTTTGCGAGTGGTGCTGTATGATTCTTTGATTAATAAATAAATAAATATATATATATATATATAGATAGATAGCTATGCACAAACCAACAAGAACAAACTATTTAATTAGCTGGTGGAGATAGACCACCTAATTATCGTTGTAAACAAAGATATGTCGTTTTAACTGTAATTAATTATTCAAGGGTTCTATGACTTTGTCACTTAGTACTATATTTTTAGTTATATTCTTCTATACTTAAGTAATAGTTTTAAGGTTTGATTCTCATCAAAGGCTAATTCGAACTAAATTATTATGGTTAGCTCATTGTAAGATTTAAAGAGATTTTTCCTTATGCCCGAAACATGGGCACATGTGCCATATGTCATTATATAGAGGAACACTTGAAAAGAAAAACTTCCATCCACTTGTAAAATAACATATGGGGTATCATTCCTTATTCTAGACACATTGAAAAATCTCTTGTTGAACCCACTCCCCCACCCCTAAATAATATCATATGTATTAAAAGATAAGGTAGACATTTTTTTTCTCATAGATAACTAAGGATTATTTGATAACAATTTCATTTTCAGTTTTCAATCCATGCAATTATAATTTATAACACTCAACAATTGGTGTACTTCTGAAACTTCTTGACAAAGTAGGATTGAAATTCATATAGACAATGGTATACTTTAGAGACAATTCATGATGCTATACATCTTTAAGGGTTTCTAATGAAATAATGCAAAATTAATAAAAGTCAGATATGAATAAAAATACTTCCGATCAATACGAGTGAAGCATGACACACGCTGGTGCAAAGTTTCTGACAGAAAAAAAATGAAACAATGACATGTTGTGGATTTGTTTTGTTTAACTCAAGTCAAGATAGAAGAAAACGAGAGTCAAACTCTTGTCGTGAATACAAATTAAGTGTCCTGCCACCCTAAATGTTAAGTCACACGGATACTCTAGTTAACTAAAACTTCTCACATGTAGCATTCTCAGCTTATTGTTACTTTATTTATATGGAAATCGGGAATGATTCCGCGCATTAGAAATGTACTCTCCAGAAGGTATAGGTACTTGAGACCCACGAAGGCAAGAAAAGCTAGCACTGTTTGCTAACACGCATTATATTGGAGAATAAGAGGCCCCAAACAAACGAAGAATCATTGGCCTTTTCTTTCCTCTGTGACTAAGTGGTTCACATGCCAGTAATTATTTTTTTAAACGGACATATAAACACAAAAGCAACGTCAATAAGCACACTTTCACCACTTCACAGGTAATTATGTACCATATATACTAAGATTTTAGTAAACTTGATAGTGTGAGTGTTGTAAGTGGGAAGAAAAAAAAAAGTGATTCAATTTCAGGCATTTTTCTGCCACATTTTCAAGTATAATAATATGGAGTTAATCACACTAGGGGGGAAAAAGGGTTTGCAAATGAGATATTTTTATTGATGGATCGAAGATTTTGTTGTTTTGGTTTATAGCTTTAAACCCTACAGTCATGTTTGGGGTGAGAAATTTCGAAAATTCAGGGGGTTGAATTTACAAATCCTTTTTATGTCTTTGCAAATGATCGTGAAAGACATTTCTTAATCTTTGATATCTAACATTTTGTAGTCTATTTCTTTCTAGCTTGACTTAATTTCTTGGAACTTGAAAATTTCACATCCAAACATAGCCTATAGGGCGATATAAAACTCAATTTATAAGCCTGAAAGTTCTTTTTGGCTGACTTAAACTAAAATAAATCATCACAGGGGCTCATATCTTGCTTTCATAAATCTGACCCATAACGAATCCGGTTCATTCACCATTCTCCAGCACTATTTAGCCAGAAAAGCAACATTAAATTCTTGAAAATTTCTGAACTCTAATCCTCCATCTTGTTTCGGCAAGCCTAACACTTGCCAGCTGACCCAACGGATCTTTTTTCCTTCATTATTCTGACCCTACCAGAATCCTGCTAAAAGAGAATCAAATTCTTTACAAATACTTGCAGGAAATTTAAAGATATTCATTGGGTAAACTGGAACAACTTGAGCTACAGCTTTGATAAGCACTTCTTTCCCCGCCTGTGATAGTAGCTTTTGTTTCCAACCTTGAATTTTCCTCATCAAATATTCTTTAACATAGCCCAAAGCTTGCCGTTTTGACTTACCCCAGATTGTTGGGAGACCGAGGTAAGTTCCAGGATTCTCCACTACTGGCATTCCCAAAATTTCACCCAATTCCTCCTTTACATTTCTTGGGGTATTATTGTTGAAATAGACACTTGATTTATTGAGGCCAACCTGCTAGCCGGACTCTGCACAATATGCGTTTAAAATCTGAACAATATTCTTGCAATTTTGTTCTATGGTCTGGATGAAAATTAAAGTGTCATCCGCAAAGAACATATGTGAAATGTTTGGGCTATTTGAGCTCATTTTTACTCCTTCAATATAATTCAAATCCACAACTTTTTGAATGAGCAAAGAGAGAACATCACTTACAAACATAAATAGATAGGGTGAAAGAGGATCCCCTTGTCGAAGCCCGTGGGAAGGGAGAAACTTCTGACCTGGCTTGCCATTGATTATGATGGAAAAATCAACCGAGACCACACATTCCATGATTAAATCAATCCACCTCATATCGAATCCCATTTTGATCATGACCTCCTTCAGGAAGGTCCATTCCACTCAATCATAAGCCTTATTCATATCCAATTTTATTCCTAACTCAAACTTCTTTTTCGGATATCTCATGGGCTATCATGATATTATCCTGAATTTCCCGACCAGAAACAAAAGCATTCTGCATTGGAGAAATTAATTTCAGTAAGAGGTGTTTAAGACGATTAACAAGAATTTTAGAAAATACATTAGAAGAGAAATTGCACAAGCTTATACGTCTGAATTGAGCTACGGTCTCCGGATTTGGGCCTTTGGGGATTAGAACAATCT